TCATTGCTCTTGATCACTTTTAGTTTATGCTTTTTTCGAAAAGCTCATAATTGATTATGAAAATTATGAGCTTTTCGTAAAAGAGGACTGTAATGGTGACGTTTAGATCAGTGACAGTAGCAAAGAATATATCAGAGATGCATATCTCTGATGTATAAGAATAAAAAGAGAGGAAAATTTCAAACAATTGGTGAATCATTATTAAACCATTGTGAATTAATTTCTATTATTCTGATTTGAACTATGATGAATGTATATATCAGAATTCATAGCAGTTTGTCATTGTAAATTTCCATGTTATCATCAAAAATTTCCAGTGCCTAATATTGTTAGATTTAATCTTGTTTTGTAATTACAGCAAAATTAAGTTTATCATAACACAGCAATAATACAAAATTTGTACAGTCGATGACAAAAGTAAATTGACATATCACATCAATTGGCTTGACGAGTCAGAGTCAAATTTAACAATGCATAATCCAGACCATATCAACCAAATATTAATATTAACTTAAAAATATGCTATGAGTAACTTTAGGCCTAATCCACTCCTAATCTGGTCATATTTATCAATTGTGTTCAATGTACATAGTTACACTAAAAGTAACTCTCAAGTCTTCATATGGTGCATTGGACACAACTGATAAATATTTCACAGGGCTATATGTGGCTTGATAGTGTAGATCAGGCCTTAATAGCAAGACAGTTGATACTCATGAGATAAAAATAACAAAACATCACCTCTTGGACAATCAACAGAAATTAAATTATCTAACTGTAACCAGAAATGTACAAACTGATGGATAGATAATGGATAGAATTCTATAATCTTAATTTCTATTTAATCTCAATTAAATTTACATATTAGGTGTGCATGGGCTAACTACAATAGTATATGTCATAAAAATATATGGTATATAATACCCCATAAACCAGGAATTATTTTTTTAAAGATGTTTTGCACTGAGAACTTTATAATTCCTGGACTCTGAGCTAACTAATCCATTCAGAATTTCTGATAAAACTCATTTCTGAACGAACCCTTTGATTCAATGAAGTTAGATACAACAGAAAATTCCTGCATATTATACATGAACAAAACTTAGCATACCAACTGCATCAATTAATCAATTATTTTGGATAAAAGCATTAACGTTAACACAGAATAGTACTTTCCTTAAAAATTCCACATTTTCCAGGTTTCCATAATTGCTATGAATCCTGATAAATGTAACCAAGGATTTGTATAAATGTAGATTCGTTCAGTCATCTGTTAATTGTTATCACTTGTAAGTTGTGCTCATTTGGCCTGACTCTTGTTTTCATGATTTTTATGCATTATTTTAGAGAACAGCTGATGACATAATAGATGGTATAATTTCAGCTGCAGAGAACATTTCTAACAACACAGGAGATAATTATAAGATTCTGCAAGTTATTGTATGTTGTCAAAAATTAATGTAAAATAATACAAAATATTAATAAAAGATATACACATACATATATAACATATTTACTCGCATATAGGCAAGGTGTGACTTTAAAGATCAAAATAAAGAAAATTAGATTTATTAATACAATTCTAATTTTATTTCATTTAAACACAAGTAAAATATCAAATGAATGTAAATGCACACATTTTCCTGCAAAAATTACTGGCATTTTAAACTTTAAGGAAAAATCTTGTAAAATCAACAACATAATTTGTTCATGTAAAGCTGGACAATCGGGAACCTCTTTTTTGCCAATTCTTAACAGTCGAATCCACTCTCCGTTGATTACACTTATGAGTTTCTCCGAATTCTGATTTCCGAATAATCATATGTTTTCACATGGGAATGGATTAAAACTTATATCAGGCTCCCATGTGATTTTGGAATTTCAATCTGGAATTCAATTTAAAAGCTTTGCTTTTCCTATTGCTATTCATCTTTACTCCTGACAATACACAAGAACAATTCAAATGACCCACATAAAATACTTATGTTTTTAAATACAAGAGCATAAGCATCCGGTAAAAAATGCAAATACACAGTTTACAAAAATTATTTGCAAAAATGCAAAAAATCTTTCACTCGCACATATAGGACATCCTAGGAATTTGAAGCCATGATAAATGAATAAAAACCTCATCTTATATGCGAGTAAATATGGTATATACAAACATGTAGATTAATACACGAATAAATAAAATAATTTTTGACCATAAGCAATCTGGAAGAAAAGTATGTCAAAAAAGTTGTCTGCTTCAAAAAGAAAACTAAAACACATAAAACAACAATTCTTTATTTTATTTTTTTCAGTCAGTATCTTTGCTGTTTTCATTGAAAATTCATTATTAACACTTTAAAGTTTTGAAATTAGTGAATCAGAAGCTGAATCTGGGAATACAACAGCAGTTACCTTACAATAACTTTGAAGACAAGATATCAGACTTTCTTTTACAAATATTTAACAACCTGTGCACCTTTGCAAAGTGGATATCATCATTGCTCTTGATCACTACCTTAATGATTTAATTGAAAATTATGAGCTTTTCAAAGAAGATTGCAATGGTGATGTTTAAATCAGTGACAATAGCAAAGAATGTAGTTCACAAATGTTAAAAGATGAACATGATACAAGTTGCATTCCACTTGACAAGATGCATGAAACTGTTGCTTATTAGCATCCTGCAAATCCACACCTCACTGTTAAGAACAATCATTAAAACAAAATTATTGTTGATTATTGAAGTCAACTATTCAACTGTTCAATATGGAGAAAACAATCAACATTGGAGGAAATTTCAGATACAAATGCAAATCTGTTACAATCTTGAAGTCATGCAAATTGCTTCCAATTATGTGCAGGTACCCTCATACAACACAGTACATATTTCAGCACTTCAACAATGTAAGAAAACATGGCATCATTGTAAAGAAATGCAATATTCAAATTTGGGCACAAGTAGTGCAAAAATCATAAACCTAGACTCTTTCATGTTGTTAGATTCATGATGCTTTCAAGAAAAAGTTCTGTATTAAATCTTGTAAAATCACACACACTGGCTCATGTTGAAAATTGGAAATGAATTGAAAATGCCAAAATCAGATTTTCTCATGATATGAATGAATAGGTGCAGGTGCTTAATGCTAATCACAGCAGTACCATACTAGACATATACTAGACATACTAGACATATTCTGGGTGCATATTCAAATAGCAAGGTGTTCATCAAGTAATGAATACAATGCAAGAATTTGGAAAATCCTCCATACAAAATTCCACAATTTTTAAATACAAACTCCATTATTCAATATTTATTTTTATTCAAGTAAGTATGCATGTTGTCTCAAATTTGCCCATGGATTTTAGAAAATTAAAATTTTCAATTTGTTTCATGCCTTTTGTCGGGTTTACACTAACAAAAACTGATAGTGCAATTTTTTTTTTCCTCGTCTTAGCTTTCCTATCAACCAGGTATCATTGTCATTGCTTTCAGACTTTAGCCATAATGACTGTCACTGTGTTTTGTTTTTATAGATTAATCTTTATATTTAGTAAAGTTTATTTAAACATTTCTAGATAAGTGTTATTAAACTTTTTTAACCATAGGTAATCATTTGTAAAAATTATCATTTGTAATCATTTGTAATCATTTTACAAATGACTACAAATGGTTACAAATTTTTACAAATGGTTACAAATTTTTACAAATGGTTACAAATTTTTACAAATGATTACAAATGTAACCATTTGTAAAAATTATGAACAAAATACAGTGGTATTTCAGTACTTTAACTGTTCCCAACCCAAACAATTCAATATTCAAACACAAATTCTCCCAGAATTTGTGTTTGAATATTAGAATANAACCATATTTGGGACAAGACTATGTCTTGGAGACTCACTGCTAAGCGGAATCACTTTGATGCTTAAGGCAGGTCTCGTTCTCATTCTCCAATCTTCTTTGGTATTGCTGCTTTTGGGTGTGATTATTCAAACTTTGCCAGCTACGACCACGATGCATTTTCGATGAAATTAACCTATCCAATTTCAAAATTTCTCTCCGTTGCATGTCGGCCTGGGTTGAATTTTTGTCGATGTGCAACAAAAATTTCCCGTTTTTGAAAAAATAGTATCGTGGCTATTGTATCATCTGAAATTATTTTTTATTTTGCACAAACAATATACAGTTTAACCCGATTATAACATCATCGGATGTAACGACAACTCTAATATAACGTCAAATTTTTATCGGTCTCACGATTTTACTATACTAGATAATGTTAAAAAAAACCTACTTGTAATGACATAAAACCCTGTTTTAATGTCATATTTGAAGCACTCAAATTTACAAAATTAGTTTATAAATTTTATTTAACAAAGAAAATACTACGTGTTCAGTCCTAGGGTCAGAGTTCACTTCTTAGAACGACTGTGGGTGGCACTCTCACCACCTGACTTCGGTTTGCCTGTTTGTAGAGAGAGTCGCCATTTTGTATTTTATTTTGACTTGGTTCTTGGTCCCCCAACTACCTACAAGTCTGGATTTTTTTACACGCAAATGATTTTGGCACCTAATACTCTGTGCCAAATATCAACTCTCGATATGTACTCCATACCTCTATGCTGGTAACATAAAATGGCAGTACGATTTTATAAACAAGACATAGTCTTGTCAACAAAAATCACAGACCTATCAGAGCTGAAGATACACAAAAAATAGGTTTGAGTTAGGATACTGACAATTTTGACTTAATGCAAGCATATTATATGAAATCTGTGCCAAGACCAGTAGACAGTTTCAAATTAATGCAATTTGACTTAGTGAGGTTTACTGCATATGAAGAAGTAAATAGGTAAAATGTACTTTAAAAATAAATTATTATTGTCTTATAGTTGAACTATTAAAGTAGTTTTCCAAATTCTCAGCATTAATAAATATTACACATTAATTCAAATTTGAATTATTATTATTTTTTAATTAAAAATTAACTTGCCTAACTTCAACTTACATCGTCTAAATTTGTGTCTTCAAAATTAGTAACATCTACAAAAGGATCTTGAATGCCATCTTTTAATGCATTTTTGATATCTTAAAAAAGAAAATACTGATAAGTTAACAAACCATAGTGCATAATAAAAAAATTTTCAAAAACTTTATTACCTTGCTCATCATATTTAACACATTCTGTAAAAATATCTTTTGTTCCAAGACTTAATCTATCTCTATGAAAATAATGAGATTGAAAGAAACGTGTCCAAAATTCACTTTCTGATAACTTGTTAGGAACATTTTCCATGTGCTTTTTTTTAACTATTAAATTAAAATTATTATTTTTTAAAAATAAAGTATAAATGAAATATTACATCAAATAATCCATTATTTCAAATTGTGTTGAGTGACTAATGAAACACAAACTTTGGTTAAAATTATTTATACTTTAAATTAAAACCTCACATTTAATTACAATACAATCAATTTTCTAAAAGACTGAAATAAAATTTATTAATATAAAATAGAATTATTATTATTATAAATTTTTAAAAATTTTTGGTTCGAAACTTAGAAAATTGATTTTACATAAATTAAAAGAATAGTTTTAATTTAATATATAAATAATTTTAATTAAGAAACATTTTTGAAACAAAAATCTTCACTGAAACTGCTTTTACAAAGAAAGCTGCTTGTCATAACAAATACACCACTTTTATATAAGATTAAAATATCAATTCCTTCCTTAAAAATTTTAACTTTCAGATGAAAATATTACTACATACATGTTGCATAAAATTAACACACAGTATATACATGATCTTTAAAGAATAATTTACTTAAATAAATTAATACTCAAAAATACCTTAGGAAAATATCTTTATATGTATATGTTTTGCAATTAACAAAAATATTAAAATATTTGTTAAAAAAGTATAGATATTGTTAAAAAAGAACTAGAACAAATAAATGATTAGTCACTTTTTAAAGTAAAGAATTGTTAAAATTTAAAAGAGATTAATCATTATTTATTTCTATTTATAAAAAAAAAAATGAAATTATTATTATTATTATAAATCTTTATCATTTGAATTAAAAAATACCTGCTGGATATGTCCTAAATATTGATTCTATGATATCAGCAGTTATATTATATTTTAAACCATTACAGCCATCTGTTTGTGGTTTAATATCTGCTAAAAATGCTGCAGACACACCTACTTCTTGTTGTTCATTACCTTCTTTATTATTACTTTGCCTTTTCTGTAAAAATGAAAATTTATATAAATGATCAATATACATCTAATCATTTACAGTTAGATCAGAATATATTAGTTGAGTTACTAGAAACTTATAATACTATCATTATAATTACATCAACATATAATGCTAAATATATTACTTTATAAATTTATAACAAACTTATAAAATTTAATAGTTGAACACTTTACTTGCATTTAATACATAAAATCATTTTTGTTTTAGTTTTTCCCATATTACTAAAATATCAATTCCAGGTATTACAAGCTATGCATAATATTTTTCATCAATTATTATATAACAATTATTTGTAAAGTAGAACATTGGCTGTAATACTTAAGATCAATTTTGTCATAAGTTGAATATTGCATCCATATCTACACAAAGAAACACTATGTAGCACAACTTTGAGTAACTTGACCTGCATCAAGCATTTGATCAATTTTAGTTTATGCTTTGGCATTGACAATACAACACAAAATCTCAGAAGATACTGAAAGTTTGTTCTACACAAGCAAATCAGATTTCACTGATGTTTTAAAAAGTTATGATGCAAAAAAGTAAATTTTTTGTCACAAAATATACCATTTAAAAATTTTTTGTTCTGAAAATTGGCTAAAAACAGAAAAAAGGTATGCCTTATATTCAAGAAGATATTACGTTTCCATCTCAAGGAAAAGTATGGCAATTAGTCAAAAAAATCACTCCCAAGAAAGTTTTACTCAGGACCTTGAAACATCAAGAAATGCAAAAAAAATTGGGGGATTTTTTCTGTATGTATGGACGTGTGGGGCACGATTTTGTTCACTGTGTTTGAAGCTTAATAACTCCTGTGCTTTTTGTCAAAAATTTTTGAAATTTTGCAGGGAGGTTTGTATATTAGGAGATTGATGCTATTAAATTTTGGTGGTTAAAGGTTGATAGGTTAGAGAGATAAAGGGAATTGTGTGTCATATCTCAAGTAGGGTCAGACTTAATGTTGATTTTACACATTACTAACATTTACAATTTTTTATGAAAATCATCCTTACCCTCAAAATTAAGCTTTTTGCCATTTTATAATAATTAAAAATATAAAAATGTTTTTAATAAAATATTATAACAGATGATGACACCAAAATTTAAAATGTTGCTAGGAAAGTTAAGTAACTCATTGCAGAATTTTTTTTACTAAAAATGAGTTCCAAAAATAGGAGTGCTGCTTATATTCTGATAAATACTGTACTTTCATCATGTATAAAACAGATACCAATGTACAGGAACTTTGTGACATTTGATTTTATTTCACTATACAACATGGACTTGGGATGCATTTGGGATAAAATTCCTTCCAGCCAATCATACATATAGTCCTGTATCATATTACAAGTTTACTTTTCACACTGGTTTCAATCAGTATTGAGCCACAACAACCAAAGATTAAACTTAAATCAGCTATTATTTAATTATAATTAGTTTTATAAAAAAAAATAAATTACATGCAACTTGATTTTTTTGCTTTAAGTGACCAATAGGTATTAATTATTATATAAAAATAAAAGTCATTTTGATTGTTTGAATAATTATGACAAATTTGTATGTAACGTAATGAATGTTTCTATAAACTTTTATAATAATCTATAAGCTATAAATTTTTTATACAAAGACAGTTATAAAAAAATCTGACTTGAATATAACAAACTGAAAATAACTTACAACTAATCAAAAATTCATTAATTTCAAAGAAAACTACGTCTAGAAATAATATTTATTTAGTTTTATGATGTATTAATGATCTAAAATGCTATTTCTGTATAATTTTAGAACATTTTTAATTAATTAAAACATTTACAAAATTTTAAGGAACATTATACAGTATGTAGAATGTTCCTTAATTAATAATGAAAGGCTGAATAACTTGCAGTTCTTGAAATAATAAAGTTTTCTTAATTTACTAATAAATAAAAATAAAATATATTAAAATGCAAATTTTAATTGGTTGAAATATATTATATAGATTATATTTCAACATAATAAAATAATTTATGATTCTTAGACATTTACAAGTTGTTAACCAGTACACACGTTGAGACATTATATTGAAAAGACAATACCTACAGCCGCATGATTGGACCAAAATTCTTCAGCTGTTATCACTTGACTCATTACCAGATCTCGATATAGTTGAAACAGAATAGGATCCTCTTGCAATATTCTGTTAAATAAAAAACTTTTAGAATACTATAGAAACATAGAACATATTTCAAAATATATTAGAAATTTCATTGGCTTTTTTGTTTAGTTATTTTGCAATGAATGATTTTATTGAATCATTTCATTGTTAAAATTATAATAAAATATTTTCTTATAAACATATCATACATATTTATCAAACTATATTACATTAAAACTTGCATATTATACTAATTATATATATATATATATGATATGTTCATAAGAAAATATTTTTTATTATGATTTTGAAATTTTCCTCTCCCTTTATTCTTATATATCAGAGATGCACATCTCTAAGGTAGTGATCAAGAGGAAAATCATTGCTCTTGATCACTTTTAGTTTATGCTTTTTTCGAAAAGCTCATAATTGATTATGAAAATTATGAGCTTTTCGTAAAAGAGGACTGTAATGGTGACGTTTAGATCAGTGACAGTAGCAAAGAATATATCAGAGATGCATATCTCTGATGTATAAGAATAAAAAGAGAGGAAAATTTCAAACAATTGGTGAATCATTATTAAACCATTGTGAATTAATTTCTATTATTCTGATTTGAACTATGATGAATGTATATATCAGAATTCATAGCAGTTTGTCATTGTAAATTTCCATGTTATCATCAAAAATTTCCAGTGCCTAATATTGTTAGATTTAATCTTGTTTTGTAATTACAGCAAAATTAAGTTTATCATAACACAGCAATAATACAAAATTTGTACAGTTGATGACAAAAGTAAATTGACATATCACATCAATTGGCTTGACGAGTCAGAGTCAAATTTAACAATGCATAATCCAGACCATATCAACCAAATATTAATATTAACTTAAAAATATGCTATGAGTAACTTTAGGCCTAATCCACTCCTAATCTGGTCATATTTATCAATTGTGTTCAATGTACATAGTTACACTAAAAGTAACTCTCAAGTCTTCATATGGTGCATTGGACACAACTGATAAATATTTCACAGGGCTATATGTGGCTTGATAGTGTAGATCAGGCCTTAATAGCAAGACAGTTGATACTCATGAGATAAAAATAACAAAACATCACCTCTTGGACAATCAACAGAAATTAAATTATCTAACTGTAACCAGAAATGTACAAACTGATGGATAGATAATGGATAGAATTCTATAATCTTAATTTCTATTTAATCTCAATTAAATTTACATATTAGGTGTGCATGGGCTAACTACAATAGTATATGTCATAAAAATATATGGTATATAATACCCCATAAACCAGGAATTATTTTTTTAAAGATGTTTTGCACTGAGAACTTTATAATTCCTGGACTCTGAGCTAACTAATCCATTCAGAATTTCTGATAAAACTCATTTCTGAACGAACCCTTTGATTCAATGAAGTTAGATACAACAGAAAATTCCTGCATATTATACATGAACAAAACTTAGCATACCAACTGCATCAATTAATCAATTATTTTGGATAAAAGCATTAACGTTAACACAGAATAGTACTTTCCTTAAAAATTCCACATTTTCCAGGTTTCCATAATTGCTATGAATCCTGATAAATGTAACCAAGGATTTGTATAAATGTAGATTCGTTCAGTCATCTGTTAATTGTTATCACTTGTAAGTTGTGCTCATTTGGCCTGACTCTTGTTTTCATGATTTTTATGCATTATTTTAGAGAACAGCTGATGACATAATAGATGGTATAATTTCAGCTGCAGAGAACATTTCTAACAACACAGGAGATAATTATAAGATTCTGCAAGTTATTGTATGTTGTCAAAAATTAATGTAAAATAATACAAAATATTAATAAAAGATATACACATACATATATAACATATTTACTCGCATATAGGCAAGGTGTGACTTTAAAGATCAAAATAAAGAAAATTAGATTTATTAATACAATTCTAATTTTATTTCATTTAAACACAAGTAAAATATCAAATGAATGTAAATGCACACATTTTCCTGCAAAAATTACTGGCATTTTAAACTTTAAGGAAAAATCTTGTAAAATCAACAACATAATTTGTTCATGTAAAGCTGGACAATCGGGAACCTCTTTTTTGCCAATTCTTAACAGTCGAATCCACTCTCCGTTGATTACACTTATGAGTTTCTCCGAATTCTGATTTCCGAATAATCATATGTTTTCACATGGGAATGGATTAAAACTTATATCAGGCTCCCATGTGATTTTGGAATTTCAATCTGGAATTCAATTTAAAAGCTTTGCTTTTCCTATTGCTATTCATCTTTACTCCTGACAATACACAAGAACAATTCAAATGACCCACATAAAATACTTATGTTTTTAAATACAAGAGCATAAGCATCCGGTAAAAAATGCAAATACACAGTTTACAAAAATTATTTGCAAAAATGCAAAAAATCTTTCACTCGCACATATAGGACATCCTAGGAATTTGAAGCCATGATAAATGAATAAAAACCTCATCTTATATGCGAGTAAATATGGTATATACAAACATGTAGATTAATACACGAATAAATAAAATAATTTTTGACCATAAGCAATCTGGAAGAAAAGTATGTCAAAAAAGTTGTCTGCTTCAAAAAGAAAACTAAAACACATAAAACAACAATTCTTTATTTTATTTTTTTCAGTCAGTATCTTTGCTGTTTTCATTGAAAATTCATTATTAACACTTTAAAGTTTTGAAATTAGTGAATCAGAAGCTGAATCTGGGAATACAACAGCAGTTACCTTACAATAACTTTGAAGACAAGATATCAGACTTTCTTTTACAAATATTTAACAACCTGTGCACCTTTGCAAAGTGGATATCATCATTGCTCTTGATCACTACCTTAATGATTTAATTGAAAATTATGAGCTTTTCAAAGAAGATTGCAATGGTGATGTTTAAATCAGTGACAATAGCAAAGAATGTAGTTCACAAATGTTAAAAGATGAACATGATACAAGTTGCATTCCACTTGACAAGATGCATGAAACTGTTGCTTATTAGCATCCTGCAAATCCACACCTCACTGTTAAGAACAATCATTAAAACAAAATTATTGTTGATTATTGAAGTCAACTATTCAACTGTTCAATATGGAGAAAACAATCAACATTGGAGGAAATTTCAGATACAAATGCAAATCTGTTACAATCTTGAAGTCATGCAAATTGCTTCCAATTATGTGCAGGTACCCTCATACAACACAGTACATATTTCAGCACTTCAACAATGTAAGAAAACATGGCATCATTGTAAAGAAATGCAATATTCAAATTTGGGCACAAGTAGTGCAAAAATCATAAACCTAGACTCTTTCATGTTGTTAGATTCATGATGCTTTCAAGAAAAAGTTCTGTATTAAATCTTGTAAAATCACACACACTGGCTCATGTTGAAAATTGGAAATGAATTGAAAATGCCAAAATCAGATTTTCTCATGATATGAATGAATAGGTGCAGGTGCTTAATGCTAATCACAGCAGTACCATACTAGACATATACTAGACATACTAGACATATTCTGGGTGCATATTCAAATAGCAAGGTGTTCATCAAGTAATGAATACAATGCAAGAATTTGGAAAATCCTCCATACAAAATTCCACAATTTTTAAATACAAACTCCATTATTCAATATTTATTTTTATTCAAGTAAGTATGCATGTTGTCTCAAATTTGCCCATGGATTTTAGAAAATTAAAATTTTCAATTTGTTTCATGCCTTTTGTCGGGTTTACACTAACAAAAACTGATAGTGCAATTTTTTTTTTCCTCGTCTTAGCTTTCCTATCAACCAGGTATCATTGTCATTGCTTTCAGACTTTAGCCATAATGACTGTCACTGTGTTTTGTTTTTATAGATTAATCTTTATATTTAGTAAAGTTTATTTAAACATTTCTAGATAAGTGTTATTAAACTTTTTTAACCATAGGTAATCATTTGTAAAAATTATCATTTGTAATCATTTGTAATCATTTTACAAATGACTACAAATGGTTACAAATTTTTACAAATGGTTACAAATTTTTACAAATGGTTACAAATTTTTACAAATGATTACAAATGTAACCATTTGTAAAAATTATGAACAAAATACAGTGGTATTTCAGTACTTTAACTGTTCCCAACCCAAACAATTCAATATTCAAACACAAATTCTCCCAGAATTTGTGTTTGAATATTAGAATAGCTTGGTACTTGGTACAAACACAACCTGTTAAAACAAATTTTTGATTAATAACATATTTTTATTTTGTCATTCATTAAAAATTTTTTTTTGATAAAAATATAAAGGCATTGCTGACATTTCTGATCAAGATCAACAAAAAAGCTCAGAAGATGAGGATACTTTGTAAAAGAAAATGCACTCGTTTAACTAAAATTAATATTAATACAATACTTTTAATTGTGATTGTTGGTTAATTATTGATTGCTCTAATAGACATATTTCTCTTAGTAATGAAAAAGAATAGTATACTTTTGTTAACTTTTAAAACCTAACCCTATGTTTTGCACTAGTCCTTTATGTCGTGCAGGATGGATTCACATAACATGAAGAATGTATACAAGGGGTATCTGTATTCCAATATTTCCAAAACCAGGAGCTAACTTGAGTATCAAAGTTCAAGACCAAGTCACCAAATGTTTAAAAATCCTGCAATTGTTGTTACATGGTTGTGTTCTGGGACACTTGATAAAAACTAAGTGAAAAAGTTTTATAAAGATATGCTACTGCTTAATATGTCAGAACACATTCTTCTTCAAGATTCCTGGGCAGGACAGAAAAGTGATGAACCAATTACCATCTAAAACACAAAGAGTATAATGATTCAAAAGTGAAAATGTGCATCACCAGGCCTCAAACAATGAGCCTAATTCAGCCAATGGATATACTGTTTTTAAGATCATTTAAATCCTATCTATGATACTGTTCTGATTGAATTAATGGGGAACAGTACCATAATCAGAACAGTATCATGTAAATGATACTGTTCTGA